TGGGTGACAGTATAAGAGAGATCAGTAGATTATTTTTTACATTCATAAAATTGTGGGGCAATTCATTAGGCTTGGATGAACTCTTGTGAAAATGTGCCCCTAAGCTGTAGAGCTTAATTTTAAAAAAAATTAAATCAGTATAATTAAGAAATTAAAAAAGAAAACACCTAAATTGAATAAACTGAGTGACAGAAAGATGAGTGGGCCAAATCCTCAGCTGAGGTAAATTAGCATAGCTCCTTTGACTTCAAGTCCAATGACTTGGGCGTTATGATCTCACCCACAAATTTTAATATCTTCAGTGAAAAAAAGTGTTCAAAAACATCATCAGATGTAAAATGAAACCAAAAACTACACCTAATGTTAACCTGGCCTTTCTCCTAAGATTCTCAAACACGAGACCTCCAAAGTGAGCATGGAGGAAATTGCAAACCTAATTGTTTTGAATAATCTCACCATACACATAGTTAATTTAATAATGTGGCTGTTGTTATATTTTTATATGCCTATCTCTTTATTGTCACCTGCCCCAGTTTCACCTGGTCAAACAGTAGTTCCTAAACACAAAATTGAGTGAATTGTAGCTTTTCTTTTCTTTTTTTGCTTCACAAACCCTTTATAAATCAATCCCATAACATGGGAATCTATTAAATTAACAAATAATAGCTCTGAAGTTTCTGCACAGTTCCTGATGTATTCAGTGTTTGAGGTTTGAAATTTGATCTCAAAGTGAGTAGTTTGAATATACATATTGGATGTCAAATACATGTATTTGCAACTGAAACGAGCATTAGACATCAAATACATGCATTCAGCTGAATCATCCAGACTAGTTTTGATGATTTGAAGAGACTCAGTGAAATGAAATCTTTATAAATACATCAGAGCATAGGCGCCGACTCCGTGGGTGTTCTGGGGCTGGAGCACCCACAGGGAAAAATTAGCAGGTGCTCTGCACCCACTGGCAGCCAAGCTCCCCCCACCCCTTCTGCTTCCTGCTGCCCTGCCGCCTAACAGCTGTTTGGTAGCGCTTTGGACTTTCCGGGAGGGAGGAGGAGGAGCGGGGACATGACATGCTCAGGGGACGAGGCGGAGAAGAGGCGGGACAGGGGCGGGGACTTGGGGGATGGGGGTGGAATGGGGGCAGGGACTTTGGGGAAGGGGTGGAATGGGGGTGGGACGAGGGTGGTGCAGGGGTGGAAAGAGGCGGTGGAGGGGCGGGGCCGGGGCAGGGAGGGGTCGAGCACCCACCGGGCAAAGGGGAAATCGGCGCCTATGCATCAGAGGGGGCGGGGGAGAGGACTTCTTTAAATTAAGGGCCAATGCTGGCATATGAACAAATTGATATAAAATAGCCATCAATAACTTTAGGCTTGAAGTTAGATGAAGGTTTCTAACCATCAGGGGAGTGAAGTTCTGGAACAGCCTTCCAAGGGGAGTAGTGCAGGTAAAAAACCTCACTTGTTTCAAGACTGAGCTTGATAAAGTTTATGGAATGAATGGTATGATAAGATTGCCTACAATGGCATATGGCCCATCCATAACTGCTATTAGCAAATATGTCTGACAGCCAGAGATGGGGGTCCTGAGTTACTACAGAAAACTCTTTCCCAGGTCTCTGGGTGGTGCATTTTACTCAGAGTCTAACTGATCACCATTTCCCCACAGGTCAGGCTGGCAGAGACCCTGGGATTTTCACCATTCTCTGCAGCATGGGACACAGGTCACTTGCTGGTTTGAACTAGGGTAAATGGTGGAGTCTCTTTAACTTGAAGTTTTTAAATCAAGATTTAAGGACTTTAGTAACTCAGCCAGAATCATAGAATATGAGGGTTAGAAGGGACCTCAGGCAGTCATCTAGTCCAACCCCCTGCTCAAAGCAGGGGCAATCCCCAGACAGATTTTTGACCCCATCCCTAAATGGCCCCCTCAAGGATTGAACTCACAACTGCTGAGTTTAGCAGACTAATGCTCAAACCACCGAGCTATCCATTCTCCAGAAGTTGAGGGGTACTCTAGGAGTGGGTGGGTGATGTTCTGTGGCCTGTGGTGTGCAGGAGGTCAGACTAGATGATCCCTTCTGGCCTTAAAATCTACAAAATATTCATGCTTTCTGTCCCACTATTTGACCAGCTCTATAGTTAGCAGATTATTTGAAACCATGTCCTATAAGAGAAAGTTGGTGCAGAATCCTCCAATTGTACCATCTAGAACTGGGCAAATACTGACTGAACCAATTTTTTTAAAAATAAAATTGTTTTGGGTTGATTCAAAATGGAATTTTTTTAGGTTTCTCAGCAAAACAAACATTTAGTTTCACTTTGGGGGTTTTAGCCCCTTTTTAAAGTCTTTTAAAAAATTGGCAATTTTCAAAACAAAAACTTAATTTGGAATGAAAAGTCAAAATGCTTCATTCCAGAAATGCCAAAATGAAATGGTTAGACTTTTTTAAAAAATCATTTTTTTCAACCAAAGCTATTTGCTGAATACAATATTAACTTGCCCCCAAAACTGCACTTTTCAGCCAGCTAATTCCATCTCTAGCACCATCATGCCATGCTGTGCCATGAACCAGTTTTAAAAAGAGATACTTAAGAAGATATGGCTCTCATTCTGCTCCACTGAAACTCAACTACACTATTTCTGCAAGTTACCTGATTCCTACAGGCCAAGGGATTGACAATCTCAAATTATAGCCCAGTCCTGCAGCCTGAAGTAATGTGAATAGTACCAATGAAGATAACTCACTTGAGTAAGCGACTGGACCCTTTATGAATTCAAGTGTCTCTCATCTGATATTGTTCTTTCAAGCCTGCTGATATTTTTATTGTGACTTGCAACAAAATCACGAATGATTTTTTAAAAATAAATAAAGATGCTAGGTAAGAAACACTTTGCAAAGTACCAATCAGATGGAAAGGATCTTGATTTATAAACACAAAGATATTAGCATTTGATATATTATTACTTAAACGTCACAAGATCCTTCACATTCCCTTTGAGGATTGACAGATTTAGAATCTGTGTGTTACACTGTTTAGCAGATGTTTCAGAAGAAAAAAATACTTTTACATTGACTACTATATATTAAATTTCACTGAGAAGCACTAATTTATAAAACAGTGTCCCGTACCTGGGTGTTGCTTGACATCAGTAACTCTGAATAAAATGATTTAACTACCAGTACAGCATGCATTCTGCAAGTTTATCATTAGGCAGAAAGGTTAAATACATTTTTCTGCTAGCATTTACACTGGTAAATCCACTGAGTTCAGGATTGGAGGCACAGAACTGCAGGTGCCTCAAATTACCTCATTGGTTTTGGTGTGAGTCAGAGCAGTAGCTTACCCATTGAGAGAAAACTTGCTTGTACAATTGAGATATCAAACTTCCGTTCATTCATCACAGTATAATATCAACATAGTGATAATTTACAACAAAAGACATTTCCAGCAGGGAGGAAATGATGGCTGCAGGCAAAGTGAACAAATTTTCCTAATGAAATCTGCATCTAACATTTAGGGCAGGGGTTCTCAAACTGGGGGTCAGGATCCCTCAGGAGGTCACGAGGTTATTACATGGGGGGTCACGAACTGTCAGCCTCCATTCCAAACCCCACTTTGCCTCCAGTATTTATAATGGTGTTAAATATATAAAAAAGTGTTTTTAATTTATAAGGGGGGGGGGGTCGCACTCAGAGGCTTGCTGTGTGAAAGGGGTCATCAGTACAAAACTTTGAGAACTACTGATTTAGGGTAATAGGAACAAAACTTGCAATATCTTTGCCTTTCAGTAACATTGCAACACTCTCTTAACTTGCTGAGGTCATTAGGGTGTATTTTTCAGAAAAACACAACAAGGAGTCCTATTTTTAAAATGCAAATGGTAGGCAGAAGTAATCATTTAATATATTCTGGGAATCTGAGTGGATTTTGTTGTCTAATATATGGAAACTTTTATTTAAGTAAATGACATTTTAAATGAATAGAAATGTCACCTTTACAGTAACTGAAATACTTTTAACATTTTATAAACTTGACCTGTTATTTAAATTTTTAGAAGCTGATGTATCTGTAGTTTTCCATTGTAATGTACTCTACCCGTATAATACAAAACATGTATTACCCTCATATAAATGCACATATCATCCTTCTATAGAGTATTGTCATTGATTTTCCTCTCCGATAAACATTTTTATATACATTTGATATATGTAAGATGCTATGCAAAATAAACCAAATTGTTAAACAGGATTTTCAAAACAGAAGGCCATTTTCTCAGACATAATGGGTGAAATCTGCAATAGCAACCTCTAAATTTAAATGCACAAAATTATGGGTTCAAATTTATGGCCTGATCCAAAGACCACTGAAATCAATGTGAGTCTAACCATCAATTTCATTGGGTTCTGAATTAATTTCTTAGGGCAAAATCTTACCAACATTAATGCACGTGACTAACTTTGACTGCATAAGTACTAGTCCTATGTATAATTAGTCACACACTAGGTGTTGGCGGGGCTGGACTCTTAGAAGCTGGTCTTAGGCCACTTTGAAAATTTAGCTCAATAGAATTTTGTATAAAAATTTCATTTGGATTACATTCAATCACACAAAGACACATGATCTTTATCTTAGTCCGGTAACAAGCAATGGAGTGGCACCACAGACAAAGTGTGGTTTAAATGTCAAAATTTATTTTAAGAAGTCAGTAGTGTCTAATTTGGTACATTTCACAAAGTAATCCTGAAAGAAAAGAGACCGCAGCTGAAAAATAGGCTGTAACCCAGGGGTTCTCAAACTGAGGGTCAGTACCCCTGAGGGGGTCCCGAGGTTATTACATGGGGGGTTGCGAGCTGTGAGCCTCCACTTCAAACCCTGCTTTCCCTCCAGCATTGATAATGGTGTTAAATATATTTTAAAATGTTTTAATTTATAAGGGGATGGCACTGAGAGGCTTGTGTGTGAAAGGGGTCACCAGTACAAAAGTTTGAGAACCACTGCTGTAACCAAACAGTTCAATCATGATGTAAACTGTACCTGGGAGCTCTTTCTCTTGCTTAGTGAGTTTGAGAACTGTAAATTTGGAGTGCTAAATTCAGAGCTGTTTCCACTGGCAGCATTGCGGAAACTAAACAAAGCTAGAGAATGTAAAAGCACTTCTCTAGCTTTACATGTTTCTATAGTCTGTTCTTGGGAGATCTGAAGGTTTATCTGTTTTAGGTTATTCATGATCAAACTGGAAGTCAGGAGGTTTGTTACAGAACCACACCTGGTCAGGTTCTCGTCAAAAAACTGTTTATAGAGCTCTTCCACCTTTGTATCCATGTAGTTATTCAGCACAGAATTCGAAAGAGGCTGCTTGTGGAGTGTCATACTCCTTTCTCCACCTTCATCACCATTCAAGGACTTTGTAGCTGTTTTTTCAAGAGGCTCATTTTGAGGGGAATGACCCAATAGAATATCTCCTGACAATAAAACCGGGCCATCAACAAGTTCATCACTTATGTGGTCCATAATGCAACCTGAATCCCGCATATAACCTCCTACATGGTCTCCTCCAATATGTAAGTCAGGATAGTTTTGATAAATATTGTGGCATGACCAGGATCTATACAAATCCACCTGGTTTTCATGAATTTGTTCTCTTCCTGGTATATGTAAAGCTTCAGATATTGTTCCTTTAACGTGTGCATTATGTTCTTTTGCAGGTAGCTCTTCTTTAGATTTCCATTGAAGCTCTTTATTATTTTCAATTTTGCTACCTTTTGCAATGATCTCATTCTGCTTCTCAGATTCTGAAGCAAAATCTTTAATTGCTGGTGTATCTATAAGGTGATCTTTCCAGGTTTCCCTTTCATCTTTTCTGTGACATTTGTGGGGTTTATCTATGTTCTGTTTTCTTTCTTTGTATATGATTCCAGTTAGGATGCCTTCTGCCAACATGTTGATCAGTGCTAGAGACTCACTAACCAGCAGAGTTCACTATATTCCTGCAAATACAAAGAAGCCATGTAAGGTAATGCAAAATAAGCATAACAGTAAGGGCTATTTTATCCTTAATTGATAAAAAGTTTTTTAAAAAATGTATGCTTCATGCAGACTGCAATGTGTGGGGCATTTTTTATTTTAACAAACAGTAACTTAATTGCTTTTTCACCAATTTCATTTTTATAGCCAGATAAAGTAAAGCCATCATGTCAATAACAATCATTCTGAAAAAGAAAAAGAAAAGAGTTAGGCCAATAATTTGATCCTTCATTTTCCATATCAGCTCAGTCTTGGACCCTTCTTCTGAATTGTGACAACTGTGCTACATTATGCACATGACTTGTTCTTAGAAAGATTTAATCAATGAAGTCTTTTTCATTGGTGACTGTGCCAGATCTTCAGCTGGTGTAAAATTGACATAGTGCTACTGAAAGAAACAGCACAACAACTGATTTCACCAGCTGAAGTTCTGACTGATGATAATCCTCTACACACTTTTTTTTTAGTAAACTAAGGGGCTAATCATGCAAGGTGTTGAGCTCGCCTGTGAGATACCGAGTGGCCGCAACTTCCACTGCCTTCAGTGTGAGCTGAGGATGTTCATCACTTCCCAAGAATGCTCAGCACCTTGCAGGACTGAGCCCTAATTGCAGCAATATCTTGCTTATTTACATAAAAATGTTGGGTATATTGCCGAACTATTCGCCAAAATTTAAGCAGATACTGTAATGAGCTCTTGTATTACTAAGAGTCCATAATTTTACTAAATTCACTGCATTCGTTCACTAATACATTATGAAATGTATCATGAATAATTAAAAACTAAACTACACATCTCAAAATAGTTAGCTACTACATTTTGTGATTGCTTGGCTTTGCCTTTTAATTGTATTTGCTCACACAGGGCTTGATCCTGCACCCTTTGAAGTCAGTGGTAAAACTCCAATTGACTTAGATGGAGCAAGCCTTTAGGACTCAATCCATCTCCTATTGAAATGAATAAGAGTTTTTCCATTGACTTCAGTGGGAGTTGGCTCTGACCCACACTCACTGAGGACCACATTGTGGCTGACCCTTATGTGGGAGAATGAAGCAGGAGAACACCAAAAGTCTCCTCTTCACTTTGAATGCCTTTGCAATGTTGTCCCAGCACAAGGGGGCTGCTCCCTTTGGTCATCTCTGGAGCACTCAGGATATGTCTACACAGCCTCACAGCCCAAAATTGACAGACTTGGGCAAGCAGGGCTCACATCAGCACTTTAAAATCTGTTTAAGTAAGGGGATAGTTGTTTAATATAAAGTGACACCTCTGTAGAGCAGGTGTGATACCAGGACCAACCCTTAAAATAACTCTTTCCAAAGCAGAATTGATTTTAAGTACTCCACATATTAATAAGCACACTCTAATTCAAATGTCATAAGAATGACACCAGTGCTCAGAAAAAGCACAATACACAGATCCTTCAGCAGTTAAAATAATTGAACCATTTTACTTTATTTTTAATACCTCTCACACAAGCAAAGATGCAGGATAAAAATTTTAAAAGTGCCCAAGTGCCATTTTCAAAAGAGACACAGGCACTTATGAGCCTAAATCTCATTGAAAGTCAATGGGACTTAGGCAACTACGTGCCTGACTCACTTTTGAAAATGGGAGTTAAGCCCAGATGTGCAAAGGTATTTAGGTGCCTAACTCCTATTGAAATCAATTGGAGATATGTGCCGAAATAGTTTTGAGGAGCTGGGCCTTAGTTACTTATGAAAAGTTTGCCTCTAACACTTGGTTCAAAGTGTTAGAGCAAGTTGTCAAAAATATGGGAACCTTAGCAAGTATACTTTAAAAATAAATACATATACTTTCAGTTATTTTAAGCAAAATAAGTGGGACTCTAAATTCCGTAACAAAAGATAAGCTGAGACAAACTAAAGAAAACCAGACTTACCCTTTCAGAATCAGTATAAGATGTGGATAGTCACATAACCTAACATTCCATGACTACAGCTGCAGCAACCTTAGAATAAATTCTCTTTATTCACTTCAGACAGTGTGAGCAATAACTGGAGCACACACAATTTTGTTCCTCTTTTTGTGCAATTTTTAAAACAGAAGTGCCGTCACCAGTGGAAAACTGTGTGGTCTGTAAACAAGCAGTGACACCAAATCCAAAAGAGGATGTAAAAAATGAGTCTGGATGGGACTGATTCTGGTGTAATGTTCACAACTAGCATGACTGCTTTTTAATTTTGCAATATGTCAACTCAAAATAACTAAGATTACTAAAAGATTAGTGTGTCTAGTAGATTTCCGTTCAATACTTTTGGCCATGCTCATAGTACATTTCAAAATGCAAGGACGCAATCAAGCATTCTATTGCTCATTTCCATCTACAAACAACTGAATTTAGTTATTAAATTAGATGTCTCTCTGATTTGCAGAGGCAAATGTTTGTAGGTACAAGTTTCTTCATTTGCAGGTACAGAACATGCATAAGTGAGGGTAAAAGTATAAAGATTGTTTTTTAAAATGTAATGCTCAGAACAGAGCCAGTAGATCACACTGCTATGTCCCTCCTTGTAGCCAGAGTGCACACAGCTGGCAGTTTGCAGTGTTCTAGTCCTATCAACTGTAACCTGGGCACCACTGACTACCTCAGCTGTGACATGATCTGGGATCATCGCAATAATCAAACAATCCATGGTTACGGCTTCTCCAGACCCTAAAGGCCAACCATGGGTGACTGGAAGCCAAGGCACTGTGGATAACATACCATCTTTAGAAAAAAATCAGTGACAAGCTTTCAAAACTCATGATTGGTTTGCTTAAGTTTTCTTTGCAAGAAAAAAGGTTAGAAACTTTTGTTTTAAAATTAAAACTAACTCTCACCTTCTCATTTCTCTTTCCTCCAAGTCGGGGGGAAGCGGTAATTGTGAGCTTCATTGGTTAGCAACAGCAGCTCAAATTAAAGGTTGAATTTCAAAACTAGCCTCCCAATTTGCAGACCAATTCTGCACTCCGATGAATTGCCATGACATATTATAGCATTTAGACATCTAAATATCTGATCTGTACTACAACCATATAGTTAAATGTTTAAATACTATCATTTCTGTGGGATGACTTGCAGATTGGGTTGAAGGCTGTTTAAAAATGTGTCTTTGTCTATCAGACTTCAAGAGCCACACACCAATGAACTTACACCAATTTACACTAGCTGAGGATTCTGGTGCCAAAGAAATATCTAACAAAGGATAAGATTGTTCATCTTTTTTTCTTTCACTATTGCTGATGTTTCTCTGAGGTGGACCCTTCCCTTCTTACTCATTACTTTGTACCACTTGGTAGAAGCTTTTTGTCACAGGATGTGTCCCTTTAAGGGAACAGGACCAGTCCCCTGGGACTAGGTAGCTGCTTCTCAGTGTGGTGCTGATCTAGCCTAGTTGAGTACACCTGGACTAACTCAATTGGAGCTATTAGTCTCAGCTGGGAAAGGGCTAAGAACACATTATATAAAGAGGAAGCTGCAACAAGAGAGGGTCTGTTTACAGGGCCTGTCTGGGGTTAAAGAGGCAGAGCTGACAGGAGCAGACGCTCAGGCAGAGGAAGCTGCGGCTGAAAAGGGTTGCCAGAATCTCCTGGAGGAGACAAAAATTCAGGCAGGGTTGTTTAGAATTGTTTGGGACTAGGGTTTAACCTCAGGATGGTAAGGACAATCTTTTCCCAAGTCCTTACAATCTACTCAGACTACAAATTCTTTTGGTTAAGAAAGTTTCTTTTTGCTCTGCATTTGCACAGGGCCTAGCAAAATGGAGTCTTGCTTCATGACTGGGGCGCCAATGTGCTACCATAATACCATTAATATATTCTAATAGTAAGAATGTCAATTTCTGAAACTCTTACCCAATGAATAGTCCCACTGGGACTATTTGTTGAGTATAGTACTAAAATTGAATGCCAGTAAAGTTATCAGAATCTGGCCCACAGTAAAAACTCCCAGAAACCTCTGAGATATCTGCCCCTCAGAAGCCTGCAGGATTATGTTGTAATATATTATACACAGACAAGGCAATCAGTATTGTTTTCTACCATTTTATATTGCTTGTGCAGTTAATTTTTTCAGTAGATAAAATGAAAATATAAAATCAAGGGATTAGTTTACAATTCTCCATTAGGTTTGATTCAGCAGGGGCAGAGACTGTAATTTGCTGTATGAAACTGAATAGCCAAGTGTTAAATTGATAACTTCAAATTTTCTTGGAAATGAAGTTCCTTTTGTGGAAAATAGAAGGCTTCTTCTTCCTGCAGCATTTCCATTTGTAACTGGATTATTGGACATATGAAGCTAATTTATAGTTTCAGACAAGTGCCCTATCACTGAATGGACTGTGTAGTATGTTGTGTATCTTAAAGTACACAAAAGATTCCTTTGGCATAATCAGGATAGCAAACTCTCCAAAACTAAAATTTTAATAAACTCATGGGTGCCTCAGCTCCTCACATCTTTTTCCATTGACATACATTACAAGGAGTCTCCAGATATAGAAAAATGAGACCGCAAATTGGGAAATGTCTATCCTTCTCTATCTTAGTTACTTCCCTTTTCTTTAAATTAAAAAAGTGCTGTTTTACAAGAACACAGTGGTACTTTCTTTAGTTGCAGAACTAAGATTATATTGTGACATCTGTTTAATCAGGTTTAACGCCAACAGACGCCGGTTGTCAGCGGACGGGATTGAACCAGGGACCTCTAGAGCTTAGTGCATGAGCCTCTACCGCATGAACTAAAAGCCAACTGGCTGTTAGCAGTCAGTCTCTCTTTCTCTCCCTCTCTCTCTGGTGTTGGTGCCACTAGATGGGACAGAACACCATACCCAGAAGGTGTGTGGGTTACACAGGTAAATGCGAAAAAACTAACAAAACATAATTCTTCCAATGAGATAGTACAGAACAAAATATA